GTGATCCACCTGCCTCAGCCTCCTAAAGGGCCAGGATTATAGGTGTGAGCCACTGACCCCAGCCAAAAAAACGATTTTTTTTTTTGAGACAGAGTTTCTCTCTTGTTGCCCAGGCTGGCAACCATCTCTGCCTACTGCAAACTCTGCCTCCCAGGTTCAAGCAATTCTCCTGCCTCAGCCTCCAGAGTAGCTAGGACTACAGGCATGTGCAAGAACACCCAGCTAATTTTGTATTTTTAGTAGAGACGAGGTTTCTCTATGTTGATCAGGCTGGTCTTGAACTCCCGACCTCAGGTGATCCACCTGCCTTGGCCTCCTGAATTCCTGTGATTACAGGCATGAGCCACTGTACCTGGCCCCCTAGATTTTTTAAAAAATACATTTTGTCCTTGGCAACATGCTGAGGCCAGGCCTGAACCAGCCCCACCCGCCCCTGCCCAAAATTTTTTAATTAGCCAGGCGCAGTGATGCATACCTGTGGTCCCAGCTACTTGAGAGGCTGAGGCTACAGGATTACTTGAGCCCAAAAAGTCAAGGCTGCAGTGAGTCGTGATCATACCACTGCACTCCAGCCTGGATTTGAGACCCAGTCAAAAAAGGAGGAAGGAAGGGAGGAAGGAAGGAAGGAAAGCGTTTGATAGTTGTATTTTACAAAACATTTTCCAACAATTCTCTTACACTATATACTCTTTTTTATAATGTGGCTTTGACAATATTCCATCAGAAGTTGGGATCTCTGTCTCCTCCTCTTATAAAGAGGAGGTTTTTTTGTTACTGTTGGTACCAACAGAGTATGGCCTAAATAATGCCATGTGACTTCCAGAATCTTCCATTTATTCCCTGGAATACTTACCCCAGACGTTGAGGTCAGTGGAAAGAGGGCTAACTAGCCATAAGGAAAGCACCAGCTGAGCCCTGGGGCTGTGTTGAGTGCACCCCCTGGCTGCCCACCAGCTCCAGCTCTGCCTCTATTGTGACAAGGACCTCCTGAGACCCTAAGCGGAACTGCCCAGCTGGGCCCTGCCCAGACCCATGACCCACAGACCCTGGGAGGGATCACACATTTTTATTTTTGTTTTAAACCACTATGTTTTGGGATATTTGCTACATGGCAATAAACAGAACAGCAACCATGAGAGTAGTAGGTTCAGACAAAAGTCCTCAGTGGATGCAAGTAAAGTTTTGAGGAGGAGTCAAGACTTTTACATAAAGTGTCTCCTCTCCAAATATTTGTTAATTACTAAGGGAAAAATAGTAACTTCACAATGACAAATTCTGGCAGAAATCAACTTAAAGTGATCAAAGTCAGTATCACCGTACTGAGACAAATTAGCATTGTATGCAAATGTGTAACAGCTGGCTGGTGGGGCCTGGATTTGTAACATTTGCTGACTTTTGTGGCATAAAAATTCCTGCAAGCTGGTTGCATGACTCATCCCTGTAATCTCAGCACTTTGGGATACTGAGGCAGGAGGCTGAGTTGAGGCCAGTCTTTGAGACAGGCTGGGCAGTAGAGCAAGATCCCATCCCAACTGACACCGGGTAAAGAGAATGAGGTTTGTGGTGGTGGTGTTTTTGTTCCTTTTGTATTTCTGAGTCAAGGTCTTGCTTTGTTGCTGGCCTGGAGTGCAGTGGTGCAATCTCAGCTCACTGCGACCTCCACTTCCTGGGCTCAAGCCATCAACCCACCTCAGCCTTCTGAGTAGTGGAGACCACAGGCATGCCCCACCATACCCAACTAATTTTTGTAGAGATGAGGTCTCACCATGTTGCCCAAGCTGGTCTCAAACTCCTGGGCTCAGGCAGTCCGCTCATCTTGGCCTCCCAAAGTGCTGGGATTACAAGCATGAGCCCCTGTGCCTGGCCTGTTAACAGTTTTCTGTACTATTCTTGCAACTTGCTTTGAAATTATTTCAAAATGATCAGATAAATGCTCTGTGGACATTTAGTTCAATAGGACTAGGCCATGAGGAATAAAGGCAAGAAAGAAGAACTGAACACAGGCAGGACTGTTGCTGGTTCATTTTGCCAAATCAGAGATCACAGCAAGTTCAGTCCAGAGGCTGTCTGCATCTACCTGTGCTGGAGATCCCCTGCAGCCACGGCAACTTGCTACAGAAATCCATTCTGCTAAAGTCAATCTTTACCAACTGTTAAATGTAAGTTAGTGAGTTGGGACCTAAAAGAGTTCTTCAGGGATTTGGTAAGGCACTGAATCACCTGCAGAGTTACACAGGACCCTAGAGGCTGTCTTCTTCCACCCGGGTACAGCCTGTGGTTGCTGACTCCTGGTGGACAAGGCTTTTTCCAGTTCCAGGAACCAAATGGTGATAAACTAGGAGTGAAGAGAGGGCTTGCCACTGCCTGAGAGCTCAGGTGCAGGTCACAGAAGATGGATAAGAAGACATTTACATCCACCTGGGGCTTTTTTTTTTTTTTTTTTTTGAGCTGTAGTTTTGCTCTTATTGCCCAGGCTGGAATGCAGTTGTGCAATCTCAGCTCACAGCAACCTCCACCTCCTAGGTTCAAGCGATTCTTCTGTGTCAGCCTCCAGAATAGCTGGAATTACAGACATATGCCACCATGCCTGGATAAGTTTGTAGTTTTAGTAGAGATGGGGTTTCTCCATGTTGATTAGGATGGTCTCGAACCCCTGACCTCAGGTGATCCGCCCACCTCAGCCTCCCAAAGTGCTAGGATTATAGGCGTGAGCCACTGCACCCAGCCCCACCTGGGGCTTTAAAGGGTTTCTTTGATTCCCTGCCATCCTTGAGTTGAGTGAGGACAAGCCTGGCTTCTTGCAACCTTCTCCCAAGGCCAGGCAAGGAGATGCATTCTGATCACACGAGGTCTTTTACTTGGGTGGCTCTGCTCTACTGCCCCCTGCCTCAGCAGCCAGCTGAACAGACACAGAGACACCCACTCATTCACGGCATTGTTTATTGAACACTAACTGGGTTTGGGCTCAGGCTCTGAGTTAGTAGTGTGCATGAAACAATCAGAAACAATCATGATTGCCTGGCCATGGGGGGCGGTTGCAGTCTGGTGGGGCAAAGCTGTAGATACAGAAGTAAGTGTCCAATTATAAATTGTGATTAGAGGCACGATGGAAAAGGGCAAGGCTTCCTGAGAGAAACAGGGCAGGCACAGGACAACCTCTGAGACAGTAGCAGGAACCTAAAACTTGAAGGGTAAACAGGAATGGGTGAGACAAAAGGGGAAAAAAGAAAATGCTTGCTGGGCACAGTGGCTCACCAGCACTCTGGGAGGCCGAGGCGGGCAGATCATGTGGTCAAGAGATTGAGACCATCCTGGCCAACATGGTGAAACCCTGTCTCTACTAAAAATACAAAAATTAACCAGGTGCAGTGGCACACACCTGTAACACCAGCTACTCAGGAGGCTGAGGCAGGAGAATCACTTGAACCTGGGAGGCGGAAGTTGCAGTGAGCCAAGATCACACCACTGCACTCCAGCCTGGCAACAGAGACCCCATCTTAAAAAAAAAAAAAAAGAAAGAAAAAGAAAAGAAAAAACTTTCCAGGGAGAGAGAAGGAGAAAAGACCCAGGCACAGTATAGAGCTGGGGACATCTGAGGAAGAAAGGGCCTCTGGGGTGGGGGGCCCTCTGGGTGACTGGGAGAGGAAGGCGCTGGAAGGGATCCAGATTAAATCAGATGCTGTGTACCCTGTGGAGTCACTGGTGTTCCTCTAATTGCACTGGGTTGTAAGCGAAGGAGTCACCTGATTTAATTTGAAATTTAAAAAGTCAGACTGGGCACGGTGGCTCACGCCTGTAATCCCAGAACTTTGGAAGGCCCAGGCTGATGGATCAAGAGGTCAGGAGTTCAAGACCTGCCTGGCCAACATGGTGAAACCCTGTCTCTACTAAAAATACAAAAAATTAGCTGAGTGTGGTGGTACACCTGTAATCCCAGCTACTTGGGAAGCTGAGGCACTTAAACCTCGGAGGCAGAGGTTGCAGTAAGCCAAGATCATGCCATTGCACCCCAGCCTGGGTGACAGGGCAAGACTCCATCTCAATACAAAAAATGTAATTCTACTCTGTGGAGAATGAGCTGGAGGAGGCAAAGGGAAGAAAGGGGAGATCAGCAAGGAGGTTGTTGTCATAACTCAGGTGGGGGCATGGTGGCTTGGACTTGGTAGCAGTGTGAAGGCACAGTGCCACTGTCCGGGTCCAGATGCAGGGTGTGTTCTGATGTAGGGAGTCGGGGACAGTGCAGCATGGAGATTTCACTGAAAATTTCTGCTTTGAGCAACTGGGTGGAATGAACGAAGGTGTATTTCACCAGATACGGGAAAGACCAGGGAATGGTTTAAAGAGCTGACTGTGGTGGCTCATGTCAGTGTGGTGGCTCCCCAGCACTTTGGGAGACTGAGGAAGGAGGATCACTTGAGACCAGGAGTTGGAGATGTAGCCTGGGCAATGTATCAGGACATTCTTTAGAAAAATTAAAGTAGAGAAAAAGAAAGGTTTAAAGGGAAGAGATTGAGGGTTCAGAATTGTACCTCCTCAGTTTCAGAGATTCCTTTGAGCTCTTCAAGTACATAAATAAATGTGGGAATCATTAACAAATAAATGGTATGAAAAGGCAAGGGAATGGATGAGACCACCCAGGAAAAGAGTACACAGAGAGAAGAGAAATAGAGAGGACAGAGTTCCCAGCTACTCGGGAAGCTGAGGCAGGAGAATCACCTGAACCTGGGAGGTGGACGTTGCAGTGAGCCAAGATGGCGCCATTTCACTCCAGCCTGGGTGTCAAGAACAAAACTCCATCTTGAAAATAAAATTTCTTAATTAATTACTTAATTAATTAATTTTAAAAGACGGGGTTTCACTATGTTGGTCAGGCTGGTCTTGAACTCCCAACCTCAGGTGATCCGACCATCTTGGCCTCCAAAGTGCTTGGATTACAGGCGTGAGCCACCATGCCCTGCCAAAAAAAAAAAAATTCTTTTTAAATGGAGAGATCAGAATAGAAGAGAGCTCAGGACTGAGCCCTGAGAACACAGCACAGAGGTCAGAGAGGAGATTCTGAAGTAGGGAAACTGGAAGTGATGGACACAGAGTGGAGAAAATCAAGAGGGTCAATGCTGCTGCAGCTGAGGGAGAATGTTCCAGAGGATGAAGCTGGTCAGCCAGCCAAGTGCTTCTCACAGGGTCACTCCGTACCCAGGCCATTGATTTGATGGGGACATGGAGCTGATTCAAGAACCGGTGAGAGGCAGTGGCAGCGCGTGCGGAAGGCAGCTCATGGAGGATGGCTAGTTTCTCCTCACTTCATGTCACATCCACTATGAACTTTTCCCATCTCTTCTTCCAGATTGCCATGAAAGTATTTTTCTCAATCTCCAACAGGCTACTGTACCTGCAGGAAGAGGAAGAGCCCAGGTGAGCCTCAGAGCAGGGGCTGGGAATGGGGCAGGGAGCCTGAGGGGACATCAGAGGCTTGCAGAGCAGTCTCCCCAGTCCAGCAGCAAGGACTAACCAGCCATGATAAAAAGAAACCCACAGAAACCATAGAGGCATTGGTTTCAAGCCTCCTCAGATGCAAACACAAGCTGTGGGCTGGAAGGCGGGCAGGGGTCCTGGGAGGACATGAGACACTCACTTGATAGAGCTGATGGCCAGCTGTTTGAGGGTCCTCAGTTCAGCCTTCATCCCCCCAATGCCCATGAAGACCTCATAGAAATAGTAGGACAAGCCTTTGGCACCAAAGATCTCTGGGTCATCAGAGCTGATCACCATAGGGTGCCTGATGGCCATCAGAGTAGCTGCAGGGTGGTTTCTCAAATCAGACACCAGTTTCAGAACGTGCCTGGTAGGAGGCAAGGGAGAAAGATGAACTCTGATCCCTAAAAAGAGTAGTCACAAGTGAAATGAGACCTGGAGCCCCCATCAGCTCCCTTCATCTCCCCATCGTTATCTCCCCAATATGAGGATGACTTCTGGGCAGTCACAAGGAGAACAGGGTCAGTCCCCATGCGTCTCCTGTTTCATCAGCACCACAAATAGTCACTTCTGGTCCTGCTCAGAGAAGCGCTAACTGAACACAGACACAAAAGACCCCAGGAAGCACTGGCCACCCGCTGCGTTCTTTGTGCTCTGTCCAGAGTTTTGCCAAAAATTCCACCCCACTGGGGACACTCACAGCTGCCGCATTCCTACTGGTGGCTTAAGCAAAAGGACCCTCCTGAATAACTTTACTAACAGGTGGGAGAGTGGAGGGATTTTGGTAACAAGAGAGTTAAGGAGAGAGAAGTTACACTGAAAAAAGTTAAGAGGGCAGAGATTGTGGTTAGGGGAGATCACATGGGATCAGCCGCATGAGTCACACATACCTGGTTAGAGATGGGACAGACTTCTATGGGGATGTCCTTTTTCTGTCAGTAAGCCCGGAGGGTGGGGTGTTTGCTCAAAGCAAATCTATGTTCGATCCTGGTAGTGTTTAGCATCAAAGCAACCAGAATGTTCTTGTCTATGGAAGTGTCTTGCCAGTCTGAAGACAGGGGCATGGTCTTCCATGGGGGATGGATGGGTCTGATGCCCCCAGAACATCCTCAAATAGCCCCCCAAGAACGAAAATGAAAAGAAATTACACACACACACAGTTTTCTTTTAACAATCTAAAGAGAGGTATGATATGGTTTTATTAATCATCTAATTTATTAATTTATCATTCTAATGAATAAGTTGAAACTTAATAGCTTTTATGAATTGACCAAGGATATTCACCTAGTAAGTAGCAAAACCAAGTTTTAAACCTTGGTCTCTCTGACTTCACAGTCCACTTTTTTTTTTTTTTTTTTTTAAAGTCTTGCTGGGTGTGGTGGCTCATGCCTGTAATCCTAGCACTTTGGGAGGCCAAGGTGGGTGGATCACCTGAGGTCAGGAGTTCAAGAACAGCCTGGCCATCATGGAGAAACCCCACCTTTAAAAAAAAAAGTCTTTCTCTCTATCACCCAGGCTGGAGTGCAATGGCACGATCTTGGCTCATTGCAACCTCCGCCTCCCAGGTTCAAGCGATTCTCCTGCCTCAGCCTCCCTAGAAGCTGGGATTACAGATGCCCTCAACCACACCCAGCTATTTTTTGTATTTTGAGTAGAGATAGGGTTCACCATGTTGGCCAGGCTGGTCTCAAACTCCTGACCTCAGGTGATCCACCCACCTTGGCCTCCCAAAGTGCTGGGATTACAGACGTGAACTACCACGCCCCACTTCGGGGCTCTTATGTTTATAATCTTTACAACAAGGTATTACAAGGTTCTCTTATTTACAACCTCAGTATAAGTACCTGTATGTGCTCATTTTAAGTATTTAACAGTACTATCAAGATGTTATCACTTGATAGGTGACTGCAGACATTCTTGTGGCCTCCTCCCCTGCTGTCCCCATTATACCTTTCTTGCCCTCAGTAAGAAGGCAGGGCTCTTTTATTTAAGGCCCTCAGTAGAGGGTGAAAGGTCAGATGTGGCTTTCCCAGACTCCCTTACAGCTAAAATAGCCTTAACACTGGCCTGGGAGGTTATTTGTTGGGGAGCTTTGGGGGATTCCTCCCTGATAAAAGGACATGCACTGGGGGACTGTCTCCTATTTTATTTCACTGGATATGGTCGCCCCGAATGTGATTCACCATCTCATGACCAAGTTGGGCAGAATCACCCACGCAATGGGCATAGCAGAAATTGCTTCTTCCTTTTTTTTTTTTTTTTTTTTTTTTTAAGACGGATTCTCACTCTGTAGCCCAGGCTGGAGTGCAGTGGTGCAATCTCAGCTCACTGCAACCTCAGCCTCCCGGGTCCCAGTTCAAGCAATTCTCCTGCCTCAGCCTCCTTAGTAGCTGGGATTACAGGCACACACCACCATACCCAGCTAATTTTTGTGTTTTTAGTAGAGACGGGGTTTCACCTGTTGGCCATGCTGGTCTTGAACTCCTGACCTCCTGATCCACCTGCCTCAGCCTCCCAAAGTGCTGGAATTACAGGCATGAGCCACCATGCCTGAGATTGCTTCTTATGTGAGATAACAAATATCCTTATTGTAAAATCTGTGGGATGCATTCTTGCAGCCATAAACATTCTAATGGATTCACATATAAAATATGAAAATTTGCCTAGGTACAGTGGCTCACACCTGTAATGCCAGCATTTTGGGAGGCTGAGGCAGGAGGAACACTTGAGCCCAAGAGTTCAAGACCAGCCTGGGCAACATAGAGAGACCCTGTGTCTACAAAAATTATGGCCAGGTGCAGGTGGCCTGTAATCCCAGCGCTTTGGGAGGCCAAGGCGGGCAGATCATGAGGTCAGGAGTTCAAGACCAGCCTGGCCAATATGGTGAAATCTCATCTTTACTAAAAATACAAAACATTAGCCAGGTGTGGTGGCACATGCCTATAGTCTCAGCTACTCAGGAAACTGAGGCAGGAGAGAGGTGGAGGTGGCAATGAGCCAAGATTGCACCACTACACTCCAATCTGGATGACAGACTGAGACTCCACCTCAAAAAAGGAAGAAAAGACGTACAAAAAGTAGCAAGGCATGGTGGTGTGTGCCTGTAGTCCCAGCTACTTGGGAGGCTGAGTTGGAAAAATCACCTGAACCCAGGAGGTGGATAGAGGCTGTCATGAGCCACGGTCATGCCACTGTACTCTAGCCTGGGTGACAGAGCGAGACTCTGTCTCAAAATATATATATGACCATTCCACTTTACTAGTAGAAATAAAACTCAAGAATTTCCTTTTCTACCCAGCACATATATTTTGGTGGATTTTCACTGGTTTTTAAAGATTTCTTCTTAAAAAATAAGGACATTACTTTTAGGTATTAAATACACAAGTCCTAGCAAAGTTATCTCCAAGGACCATACAACTTGAAACTTGTTAGGATGTGTGCTGCAACGTTTTGTCCTGCAAGAATTATTTCACACACATATAATTTTCCCCAACTTGACCACAAGCTTTTCAAGGTTAACAATCCCCTCCCCTTCAAACAATTCTTCTGCTCTCCTAGAGCGGACTTCGATATAAATGGGATCTAAATTGACTGGAAAAGACAGGAAAAAGAGATTAATGCACAAGGTCCCTTTCTCTAGAGATGGTATGATAAAGCAGAGCCTAAGTCTGAGTGGGAGACGAAGCTGCCCACCACTCTCTCCACCCCTCCTTCGTTTTCTGAGGGTGACAGGTGGGATGCTACAGACAGCTGCCCTCCTGGTCCAGGCCTCAATGTAAACAGCCTCCCCTGAGGCCTGGGCATGGTGGCTCATGCCTGTAATCTCAGCACTTTGGGAGGCTGAGGCGGGTGAATCACCTGAGACCAGGAGTTCAAGACCAGCCTGGCCAACATGGTGAAACCATATCTCTATTAAACACACACACACATACACACACACGCACACACACACACACACACACACACACACACACACAGTCTCCTCCCACTCCGAAATCTTCCTTCGGATCCAAATTTGCAGCCATGATCTTACTTAGTTAGGTTTACACATTTTAAGGACTGTAATATGGAAGGGCAAAGATGACTGAAAAAGCCCAGGAAGAAGTTCTGGGGAAGAAAGATGTGGCTGGACTAATGACATTTCAGGAGGAACACCAGCCAGGGCCTGCATGGGGCAGGGCAGGGTTTCCTCTCCTGCAATGATGAGGGACAAAACATCCTAAGACAAGGGGCAGTCCTGGTTCTCCTCCCTCTTCTGCCTATTTCCAGCTCTGTGGCTTTGGGCAGATCAGTTAACCTCTCAAGCACAATTCACTCGCAGGATGGAGAGCTTAAGACAGGGTTCCAATTCATACACATTATATACATGCATCAAAATATCACGTGTCCAGGTGTGGTGAACCACACCTGTAATCCCAGCACTTTGGGAGATCGAGGCAAGCAGATCATTTGAGGTCGGAAGTTCAAGACCAGCCTGGCCAACAAGGTGAAACCCTGCCTTTACTAAATATTAAAAAAATTAGCCAGGTGGGTATCAGGACCCTGTATTTCCAGCTGCTCCAGAGGTTGAGGCACAAGAATCGCTTGAACCCTGGAGGCAGAGTTTACAGTGAGCTGAAATCGCACCACTGCACTCCAGCCTCAGCTACAGAGTAAGATTCAGTCTGAAAATGTTTTTTTTCAGTGGCTTACACCTGTAATCCCAACTCTTTGGGAGGCCGAGGTGGGTGGATCACTTGAGGTCAGGAGTTCAAGAACAGCCTGACCAATACAGTGAAACCCCATCTCTACTAAAAATACAAAAATTAGTCAGACATGGTGGTGCATGCCTGTAATCTTAGCTACTCCAGTGGCTGAGGCAGGAGAATCACTTGAACCCAGGAGGCAAGGTTGCAGTGAGCTAAGATCTCACCACTGCACTCCAGCCTGGGTGACAGAGTGAGACTCTGTTTCAAAAATTTTTCGTATTTGTGTAGAATGGGATCTTGCTATGTTGCCCAGACTGGTCTCAAACTCCTGGGCTCAAGTGATTTTTCTGCCTCTGCTTCCCTAAGTGCTAGAATTACAGATGTGAGCTACCGTACCCGACTAAAACAATTTATTTTTGAGACAGGGTCTAGCTCTGTCACCCAGGCTGGAGTGCAGTGATTCTGGGCACAGATGACCCTCCTACTTCAGCCTCTGAGTAGCTGGTACCACAATTGTGTGCCATCATGCTTGGCTATGTTTTGTATTTTTTGTAGAGACAAGGTTTTGTCAAGATATCCCAGCAGGTCTCAAACTCCTAGATTTAAGAGATCCACCCACATCAGCCTCCAAAGTGCTAGGATTACAGGCATGAGCCACTGCACCTGTGCCCAGCCTAAAACAAAGTTTTACAGCCAAAGTAGAATGATGTGAGTTTGCAGGATTATGCACCCACCAAGAAAAATGAAAAAAAAAAAGAAAAAGAAAAAGAAAAAGAAAAAGGATTCAAAATCAGACTCCACTGTATACCAGCTCTTTAACCCTGGACCACTGACACCATGCTTGGAGCACTGGGCCCTTCATCTATCAAATGGAGATTAAAACACGAGCAGGACTGGGGTAAGAATTAGAAATAAATTAAAATAATGCATGTAAAGTGGCTGATTCTATTATCTTTGTTATTTCTTCTCCATAGGGCTGCTGTCAGGATTAATGATCAAGAACATAGGAGAGGGCTCTGGAAGCATCTGCAGGCCCTATCCCTGAGGTGCAGTCGCTGCAGTCCTGTCTCCCGGCAGCAAGCTGGAGTCGTGGCTAGAAGCTGTCCTACTGCCCACCTCTGCTGATTCCCACGGGCTCACCTGTCTCTCCAGCATGGAAGAAGCAAGGCAGCTTAAGACCATCCTTGGAGGGAATCATCAGCACTTTGTTGTAGTAGTGCAAGGAGTGGCCAGCGTCCTCATGCCCCACCTGCAGAACAGAGAAGGGACAGGAGATGTCTGCAGGGCGTGTGCCTCACTTGCTGATGGAACCCTTTGCAGCCCATGCACACCCTCCCTTGTACCCTGCCGCCACTGCCAGGATATTTGTCATGCAACCTTTTAAGAATGGCAAGGAGTGGCCAGGCATGTGGCTCACATCTATAATCCCAGCACTTTGGAAGGGCAAGGCAGGTGGATCATGAGGTAAAGAGATCAAGACCATCCTGGTCAACATGGTAAAACCCTGTCTCTACTGAAAATACATAAATTAGCTGGACATGGTGGTGCACCCCTGTAGTCCCAGCAACTTGGGAGGCTGAGGCAGGAGAATTGCTTGAACCCAGGAGGTAGAGGTTGCAGTGAGCTGAGGTCGTGCCATTGCACTCCAGCCTGGATAACAAGAGTGAAATTCTGTCTAAAAAAAAAAAAAAGGAATGTGAAGGAACATAGTTGAGAAAGAAAAGAGATCTCATTTGTCCCCTGAAATAGTTCCCCCATTTTCAGAGTTATGTCTTGTATGTCCCCAGCCCCTTCCACCCTGGCTCCTCACAGCACCTCTCAGGCCCAAGTGCTTCAGCCCTGAGTGCCTGAGGCAGGCAGGGAGGGAGGAGAAGGAGAGTCAGAGGGAGACCTAAAGAGACCCAAAGATGGCCAGGTGCAGCTCAAGCTTGTAATCCCAGCACTTTGGGACCATTCTGGCCAACATGGTGAAACCCCATCTCTACTAAAAATACAAAAAAAATTAGCTGGACATGGTGGCATGTGCCTGTAGTCCCAGCTACTCGGGAGGCTGAGGCAGAAGAATTGCTTGAACCCAGGAGGCGGAGGTTGCAGGGAGCTAAGATCATACCACTGCACTCCAGCCTGGTACCTGGTGACAGAGCAAGACTGTCTCAAAAAAAAAAAAAAAAAAAAAAAAAAAGAGAGAGAGAGAGAGAGACCCAGAGTGTAAGACAGAGAGAGAGAATGAAAGCCCAGCCCCAGGAGTCATCCTAGCACTTTGGGAGTCTGAGGCAGCAGATCACCTGAGGTTGGGAGTTCAAGACCAGCCTAGCCAACATGGTGAAAACCCAACTCTATTAAAAATACAAAAAGTAGCCAGGCACAGTGGCACATGCACCTGTAATCCCAGCTACTTGGGAGGCTGAAGTAGGAGAATTGCTTGAACCAGGGAGGTGGAGGTTTCAGTGAGCTGAGATTGTGCTATTGTGCTCCGGATTGGGTAGAGAGAGTGAAACTCTGTCTAAAAAAAAAAAGAAAGAAAGAGAGAGGAAGGAAAGAAAAAAGGATGGAGAGAGGGAGGGAGGGAAAGAGAGGGGAAAGGAAGGAAGGAAGGAAGAGACAGAAAGAAAGAGAGGAAAGAAACAAAGAAACAAAGAGAGAAACAGAGAAAGAAAGAAAGAGAGACAAGAATGAAAGAAAGGAAGGAAGAAAGAAGGAAGAAAAAAGAAAAGGAGAAATGGGTGGGCAGAGAAAGAAAGGAAAAAGAAAGAAGAAAAGACTGGGCAGAGAAAGCAGGAAGGAAAGAAAGAATGGAAAGGAAGAGAAAAGGAAGAGAAAGAAAGAAAGAGAAAGCAAGGAAGGAGAGAGAAAGGAGAGAGAAAGAGCAGGGTGGACAGTGCATCCTCCCTTGTGGAGCAGAGTGAGCCTCACATGCTCGTTATGGAAGTGCTTTCCACGATGCCCGATCCAGGCCCCGCTTCCACCCTTGCAAAGCCCCTGGCCCGAGCCCCACCTCTTCACTTCCCTGAAATAAGCACCTGCCCCAGAGCCCCGGGCTTTGAACCCAGCTACCATCTCATCTGTCCTCCTGCACCGGGCATTTCTGGTGCTTCCCCCTCTAGTCCTTTGACCCCACCATCCAGCTGTTAACCATCAACTTGCCTATAAAAGGCAATTCTGATTGAAGGCAAAGGGAGGGTGGTATGTGGTTGGGTGACCCTCCCTTGTCACCCAACCAAAGAGAGGGTGGTCCTGAGGGTAGTTCAGGACCATGTGGCCCTCTTCCCAGCCTGAGATTGGCATCTGCTTCTTCTGGCTTGCCATCCAGCATATGAGACTGACTTAGATTCCTAGAACACCATGGAAGGTAGCACCTCCTGTGACGATTGCAAAGTGGCTCATGCTCCGGGGCCTAGCCTAGGATCCCTGCTGCCTGTCTGACTGTCTGTCCACCTGTCTATCCCTCCATCCATCTGTGTGAGGTCGCAGATCTGCAGCATTTCCCCGCAGGCTCGGGAGGGGCTGCAGCACCTGCTGCTCCTGCACAGCCCATTCCTGTCTGCAGGCAGCTTCTTCCTGCTGCCCTGAAGAAAGGGCTGTATTTGTATGAAAGCATGCAAGGGTGGGTAGAGGGGACCCAGGGCCTGCAGAGGAGGTGGCCCAAAGTCTAGTCTCGAGGGCTTCTTTCTCTGCTGTTGCTGTTTTGAGAGTCTCGCTGTTTCCCAGGCTGGAGTGCAGTGGTACTATCTCAACTCACTACAACCTCCACCTCTTGAGTTCAAGCTATTCTCCCTCCGCAGTTTCCCGAGTAGCTGTGATTACAGGTGCCCACCACCAGGCCCAGCTAATTTTTGCATTTTTAGTAGAGACAGGGTTTCACCATGTGGGCCAGGCTGGCCTCGAACTGCTGACCTCAGGTGATCTGCCCATCTCAGCCTCCCAAAGTGCTGGGATTACAGGGGTGAGGCATGGCGCCCAACTCCTCATGCTTCTTTTCCAGAACCTAGCAGACTTTCTTCCCTAGGGTGCCTCCAAAATGCTGCTTGCAGACTCTGGAAGGAGTGCTAAGAATCATTTGGGATTCCACTGCCCTCTCTTCTCCTCCCTTCCCCTCCCCTACCTTCCCTTCCCCTCTCCTCCCCTTTTCTCTCCTTCCCTCCCCTCCCCTTCCCTCTCCTACCTTCTTTTCTCCTTTCTGAGACAGGACCTTGCTCACTGGCCCAGGCTGGATTACAGTGATGCAATCATAACTCATTGCAACCTCAGCCTCTAAGTGAGCCTCCTGCATCAGCCTCATGAGTAGCTGGGACTACAGGCTCACACCACCACACCTGGCTAATTTTCTTTTTTCTTTTTTTTTTTTTTTTTTTTTTTTGTAGAGACAGGATCTTGCTATGTTGCTCAGGCTGGTCTCGAACTCCTGGCTCAAGTGATCCTTCTCCCCCAGTGTCACAGCATGCTTCAGATTACAGGTGTGAGCCACCATGCCCGGCCTTCACAGCCTTTCTTTTCCTCAATAAAAATCTCACATGGGGGACTGCATTGTTCTGTTACACTTTCTGCAGGTGCCTCTCTTTTCCTGCTGTCAAGCAGTGGGGACAGGGAACCAAAAAAAAGAAAAAGCATCCAGTCCTTGTCCCTGGGAAGCTTGTCCTAGAGAAGGGGACACAGACGTTTGTATTGCAGAGTATGTGCAGTCGGCTTGAGCACATGTATCTGCAGTCAGCTTCAGCCTTGCCATGGCAGGACCGAGTCCACATGGTGAGGGAAACACACTCCCTGGTAACTCCAGGGCCGTCAGATAGCAGTTGAGGTGAATTGAGGAGGTACCCACTCTGGGGTTTACCTACTTGTGCCCCATGGATTTTAGGGACAACAGGAGAAGCACACATCTCCTTTCTGCCCCAACCCTAGGCATCCATCCCACAAGCAAATGGCAGAGACTGGTGACACTGGCTTTTTCCAACTGAGCATGGGGCACCCACTTACCCTCTTCTCTCTCTTCATGATCGGCCCTTTGTGGAACTATGTGCTAGAAACTTACTTTCCATTTTTGGAGATGCTTCTAAAAACTGGACTTTTTCCAGCTTGATGGGAGCTGGAAGTTAGATCAGTTTCCATTTCTTGCACCTAAAAAAACGATGACAGAAGTCAGATGTACCCCGGGCTCTCTAGATGGAACTAGAACAGATGAAAAGAACACAGCTTTGGAGTAAAGCAAATCCTCCCTGGTTCTATTTTTTTAATTAAGTAATTATTTGCTTTTGGAGATGGCAGGAGTCTCTCCTTGTCACCCAGGCTGGAGTGCAGTGGCATGATCATAGCTCACTGCAGCATGAAACTCCTGGACTCAAGCAGTCCTCCCACCTCAGCCTCCCAAGCAGCTGGGACCACAGGCATGCACCATGTCTCTCTTTTGTATCATACTTCAGCTGTACTTTTGCCTTTGCAGACTCAGGCAGGTTTATTACCACCTGGGGGCTCATTTTCTCTTCTGTCAAGTGGAGAGAATACTTGTGTAGTTGAGTTCTTAAAGTGTGGTCCAGGGACACCCAGGGGCTGGTCCCCAAGACCCTCTCCGGGGAGACCACTATCTCAAAACTGCTACCATAAGAATGCTAAGATAGCAGCCAGGCATGGTGGCTCACGCCTGCAATCCCACACTTTGCGGGGCTGAGGGGGGCAGATCACCTGAGCTCAGGAATTCAAGACTAGCCTGGCCAACATAGTAAAACCCCATCTCTACTAAAAATACAAAAAATTAGCCGGGCATGGTGGTGGCACCTGTAATCCCAGCTACTGGGGAGGCTGTGGCAGCCCAGCTTTGGTTTGTGACACAGGAGTTCAGACACAGCCTAAAGGCAACATCAAAGCAGATGCATAGAAACCAGGGTTTAGGCTGGGTGCGGTGGCTCACATCTGTAATGCTGGCACCTTGGGAGGCCAAGGCAGGAGAATCACTTGAGCTCTGGAGTTCAAGACCAGGCTGCATGTAGTGAGACCCTGTCTACTAAAAATGTATTTTAACCAACACCATGCCCAGCTAATTTTTGTATTTTTAGTAGAGATGGAGTTTCACCATGTTGGCCAAGCTGGTCTTGAACTTCTGCCCTTAGGAGACAGCCTGCCTCAGCCTCCCAAAGTGCTAGGCTTACAGGCATGAGCTACTGCACCTGGCTTCAGGTAGCATTATTATATAGTGGAGTTTTTGTTTGTTTTTATCTTAGAGACAGGATCTTCTTGCTCTGTCATTCAAGTTGGTGTGCAGTAGTGCCATCTCAGCTCACTGCAGCTTCCAACTCCCAGGCTCAAGCAATTCTCCTGCCTCAGCCACCAAAGCTGGGCTATAGGTGCACACTGCCATTCCTGCCCAGGTGGGCAGATTATGAGGTCAAGAGATCGAGACCAGCCTGGCCAACATGATGAAACCCCATCTCTACTAAAAATACAACAATTAGCCAGGTGTGGTGGCATATGTCTGTAACTGCAGCTACTCACTAGGCTAAGGCAGGAGAATCACTTGAACCCAGAGGCAGAGTTTGCAGTGAACCAAGATTTTGCCACTGCACTCCAGCCTAGGTGACAGAGTAAGACTCTGTCTCAGAAAAAAAAGTAAAAGAAAAAAACCCAAAAATTAGCCAGGCATGTTGGCAGGCACCTGTAGTCCCATCTGCCTGGGAGGCTGAGACAAGAGAATCTCTTGAACCCAGGAGGCTGAGCTTGCAGTGGGCTGAGATCCCACCACTGCACTCCAGCTTGGGGCAGAGAGGGAGACTCTGTCTTAAAAGAAAGAAAAGGAAGGACACTTGGGGGTCAGCTAGCACCAAGGCCAGCCAGGGATGGTCAATGTCACACCTGAGCACCTGAGAAGAGAGACGCAACCATCAAGTCAAAGCAAGGAGGTTGGGGAGGAAAAGAAGCCAGTTTCTCCAGAAAGACGACCACCTGGTGGGGTATGCTGTGCAATCAGCAAGCCCTGCTGGGTCTGAGGACTTGGTGGACTCAAACTGGGACAACCCCAGGCAACCCAGGTCGGGCTGGTCACCCTGAGTACAGAGTTCCCAAGGAGCGGGCTAAGGATTGATGCATGAGCAGGTGGTTTGAAATGAAGGTCAGAGGAGGATGGAGAAGAAATATGGCCCCTGACTGATGGGAGAGTTCTGCGGGGCTGGTGTCCGGGGCTCCTGCCCTTTTCCCAGCCTGGGGAACAGGCCCTTTGACTGCTCTGCCCCGCCCTGTGCAAGTCACCAGCTGTTGACTTTAAAAGGAAAACAAACCTCATGATGTGTGTTTAGGTCTGTTTACTACCTGTTGCTTTGCTGAGAGCCAAGTCAGGATGGTTTATTTCAGTGCGACTTTTTAATCTAATATCTTTCAGGCTGTCCCCAGGGAGCTGATGAGGATGTAAAGGCCATTTGTAATTCAGCCAGACTCTTCCAGTGGACAAACAACACTGTCACCAGGCCCCGGCCACCCTCTCATGCCCTCATTAAGCTTAGGGAAATAGTTTGTGCTGGAGAGATCTGCTAGGTTTCTAAGCACCCTGTGAAGCATCCTATTTCTGTTGCATGAATTGTGCCTGGGAACATTTTATGTCACATCAAGCTGTTTGTAAATACAGAGACAAACCTAGGCGAGATCCTTTTTCTTCTCTGGCTTCAATCTGGATGCTTTCTATTTCATTTTCAGGCCCAGTCACCCTGGCTTGAACTTGCAATAACAATAATGAATGGAAGCAGCGAGAGCAGCCACCCTTATCTCGTCCCTGCTCTTTATTTATTTTCTTGAGACAAGGATCTGGCTGTGTCTCCCATACTGGAGTGCAATGGCACGATCTCAGCTCCCTGCAACCTCCGCCTCCCAGGTTCAAGCCATTCTTCTGCCTCAGACTCCAGAGTAGCTGGGACTACAGGTGCCTGCCAACATGCCAGCTGATTTTTGTATATTTAGTAGAGACAGGGTTCCATCATGTTGCGCAGGCTGGTCTTGAACTCTTGACCTCTCAAATAATCCACCTGCCTTGGCCTCCCAAAGTGTTGGGATTATAGGCTTGAGCCACTATGCCCAGCCTTAAC